TTTTTCTTAGAAGGACAGCTTCTAAGATAAACGATGAGAAGAAAGCTCATCATCTTCATTCCCTCAGCTGATGTAACTGGCACATAAACCTTATGAATATTTTATTGTTGATAGTGTTGAAAACTGGAAAACACAACAAAGTTCCTCGGTCGTTTTTCCTATTTGTTGTTATGCCTACATTTTTCTCCTGACTGGTTGAATCTTTAATTTAAAAGGAGTTGCCTTTGGCTTATTTTCAATCTCTGAATATAATGGCACTTGCAATATTATTTATATATATTGGAGTACCATGTATCTTTTATTCTATTCTAATCAAATGCATTGGTTCTATCCCTATTCATTAAATGGAAATAGACATTGTGATTTAGGATTCATCTATTGGTTCACCTTTGACTTTTTCCAGGTCAACTTCTCCGTCTTATTCCTATAGAAGTCTCTAAACAATTTTTTCCTTTTATGTCTGGTTTTTTTTTCTATTTTAATTAATCTTTCCTGTTTCCATGATGGTTTTTTTTTTAACATTTTCAATCAGTATATCTCACCATTTTGTTTTTTTAATGATGTACTGTGTGTTATAAATACAATTATGGTCTTGTGCACTAGGATTTTCATCTTTTAATTCCTGTGAGCATGCACAAGGATAGTTGTCTTCTATTCTTCAATAGTTAATGAGGTAATGCCCTGCAACATACATTCTGTTAACTACACAAAAGTAACTATCGTCAGGGGCAAATACTTTAGTGATGCTTCAAATTCCACAAATATGACCTTTGTGCGAGCATCTCTTTTAAATTTTTGTTTCTCTATTCATTTGATAATTTAGAATTTAACTAATCAAAGTTAGGCATAGGCAACTAATCATCCTCCAAACATGAATATCACCATTGCAACTTATTCTATAGTACATATTACAGGGACCTATCATCGTTATGCGTGTGAAGTTGTGTGCTTCTATATTCTTCAAGCTTTCAAATGTGACTTTTATGCTAGCATTTTTACCAATATTACCATATACACACTTGTAAATACCATTTTGTTTTGCAGCCTCCACGGTCAAAGCATTGCCATAAATGTTGCAGATGTGTCCTTCAATTTGATCATCATTGTGTGTGGTTACGTACATGCATTGGTCGAGCTAACCGCTGTCATTTTTGGTGAGTAGTATATCGAATTTTTTTCCCAATATTATTATACCTGAAGTTAATGTATGCAATTGCTTTATATGAATACTATGTTTACTTCCGTAGTGTTTTGCGGACATTTGATTGATATTCCACAACAGCAATGAACTGAAGTTTATGGCGACAACTATTCTGTAGATTCTTTTGTGTGTCCTTATATATTAAAGAAAGAGTTTTTGCATAGATGCTCCTCAAATCTTCTATATTTGCAAATTAATCCTCTAATCTTGTTATTTACAAATTACCTCCCAATCCTCTTACATTAGGTTTTTCTATCCCTCCGATTTAACAATATTGATTTTCAAACTGTACAATGTTAGAAATTTTCAAAAATTTTCAATTAGGTTGTAACATTTTCATTGTTTAAAAACCAAAGTTGTTAAGTGAGAGGGGTGGAAAAGCTCAATGCGAGAGAATTGAGGGGTAATTTTGCAAATACCAATATTTGGGGGTAAATTTGCAAATATGAAAGATTTGAGGGGTATATATGCAAAAAACCCTTAAACAAATTGCAAAATTTTCCTTGCCTTGTTGATATTTTCCTGCATGTGCTTTTCTGAATTATTTAGCAAACTTGCTCTTTTCATCTAAAAATGTACGATTTTTTTTGAAGTATTGAGTTCATCTTTCACATTATTTTGGCAATGATAAATGTATTATATATTCACCTATTCAAACAAATTTTTAATAAGAATAAAGTTATACTTTTTCATTATAGTTAGCACCAAAGTAGATAATTGAAATGCTTGCTAAAATAATATACTTTATATTGTAAATGATAGAAACCAACTTTAATGATGTAAACATTATTAACATTTAACATTCACCAAATGTTTACTAATTTGCACATTAAAGAGTATAGTTGCAAATTACTTCAAAAATGTAAGTTACATGTGATATATGCAAAATGAAAGCTCAAATAGGTTATTTCTTAGGAAATAGGAACATAACGTCATATGTTGATATGCTCTAAACACCCTTACAGCAGTGTGTTGTCCTTCATTATTTTATCATTTAAAAAAATTGTTGATTCTATGGGAGAGCTTCAAAGGCTATTATACATGACTGAGGGATTCAAATTCTGCATATATATAACCTTTTTATCCTTTTCCTGTAGTTCTTATCAGGTAGGTTTATTTTCTTTGATACTTTCCTCTTCAAGTTCTCTTGATCCAACCTTCTCATTTTCTATTCACGAACATATTAGTCTTTGTACTCACAAATGCATAGAAATTCTTCTTTATGATTTTGTACCTTTAACAATGATTGTCTTTGGTTCTTCTAAACTAGTCTTTTAGCCCATGCCAATCATGGGCTAGTGATTTCTTCTCTCAACCATATTTTTTCCTCTTAACTTCACCCCCTTTTCCATTTTTAAGACCTTTTGTATTTATATACAATATTTATGCACACATATAAGCTAGTATATATTAATTTATTTTTTATATTATAAATTTAAATATACATATTATGTCATAAATATAAGTTATATAGGCCAAGCACGGGTTAGTGATACAGTTGAACATTAAAAAAAAAAAAAATCCCCCTCTTTAAGATCTAGACGTTGAGCACTTGACCACTTTGAGAACTTTGTGCACTTTGAGCACTCTCATTTAAAACATTTAAATGTTATATACAACAAGTACATGGAATGCTTTTACATTTTTTCACGGAATAAGTCAATAACTGTATTGAAAACTTATAACTCAAATATACATTAAAAAAGATCTTAAGTCTAATTAATATGCATGCAAATATAAGTGTAAAAAAATATATACTTTGACGACTTTGTTATATGCAAGTATAAGAGTGTTTTAGTTAGGTTAATCTTTATTAAACATATGAATAGGTAATTTACATAACCAAAAAAAGAGGTAGCAATA